ATTTATCGTAGAATCGGCTTCTTAACTAATCGATTATTTTCGGTATTTCAATGATAAATGATAATCTAATCATCGATTTTAAATGAAATACAATAAAAATAAATTATTGATAATAATCGACTATTTTCGATTAATCGATTATTTTCGAATTTTTAAAGGTATATGAAAATAATCGATTGATCGAATATAATCGGTTATTTTATATTACCAATAATTTAGTTATTTTTTAGAAATATCGATTTATCGGTTAATCAGCTTTTTAATAATGAATAATTATTTTCGATTTACCAATTTTTATCGATTATTTTCGATTTTTCAAAGATAATAGAATAATCAATTTTAAAGGAAATATGAAAAGGATTATTAGAAAATAATTGATAATTCGGTTATTTTTTTGGAAAATAGATTTATCGTAGAATCGGCTTCTTAATTAATCGATTATTTTCGGTATTTCAATGATAATTGATTTATCGATTTTAAATAAAATACAATAAAAATAAATTACTGATAATCGATTATTTAAAATAATCGACAATTCGGTTTTTTTTTTTTGAAAATCGATTTATCAGTTAATCGACTTTTTAATTAATCGACTATTTTCGATTTTTCAAAGATTATCGAATAATCTGTTTCAATGGACGAAAAAAAATGGATTATTTGAAAATAATCGATTATTTAAAATAAACGATAATTTTTTGTAAACACTGATTTATCGGTTAATTGGCTTTTTAATTAATCGATTATTTTTGATTTTTCAAAGATAAGGAAGTAGTCTATTTTAAAGAAAATACGAAAAACAAATAGATTGAAAACAATGGATTTGATCAAAAATAATCGATTATTTTCAATGATCGATTATTATTTCGACAATTACTCATCCTCTATATTAATTAATATTCCTAAAGAAAGAAGCTGAGGTTACAATACAAAACAGCATTTTCTCATTTTGACTAATTTTTAATATTATTTAATAGCCGTAGAAAAAATATAATGTTTGACTCAAAAGGTTTGATTTGCAGTATTCGCCTGCGCACATGCTTTTTTATAATACTCGTAGATAATGAGTACCATTTCTTGCTCTATTAACAATATTCTATTTCTGAAAAGTCCGTAGTAAGTAAACGCTAACGAAATATTCTATAAAAGGTCTTTTTTACATAAAATGTCGTGCATCTGTTTGATATTAAAAAATCACGTTAATTTTATTTCATAATACAAAATTCCATTAAACATATATTTTAAATAAATCTAATAGTTCATTATGATGCTAATAAACAAAGTCCGGTCCTCGTCACAGAGTTCGGGTCTCTGCACAGTTCCCCACTCCGTTAACCTTTCTTTAGAAATTGGCAACATTTACGCAGGTTAAACATCGGTGTATGTTATATCTCTTGTCTCTTTTATCTAAGAAAAAGGTACAGTTGCTGTTGATCGCTTAGCCGCAATCTTGTCGCAGCCAGGTGTAAACAGGTATAACTTTGTCTAATTTTTTTGTTCATGACGTATATTCATTCCAATTGTGCCATATTATAGCTAATTTTTTTCTGTGCTTAATGTAATAAAGCTGCCTATAAAAAAAACTGCAAATAAAAGTTTCCTGCCGTTAAAGATGCTAGGCATTGTAAATAAAGTGACAGAGAGTGAGCGGGCAATGCTACTTGTCGGACAAAGATGTTAAATGCCGGCTGTACGCGCTTTTTAAGCTATTGCGCATGCTTCGATAGATAGGGTTCTCAACCAACGGTCTAAGTAGTAGTAAGAACGACTTTATTTAACTACTCCAAAAAATAAAAAACTGATAAAATTATAAAATCTAAAAAAAAATATTAAACTTAGGTGCATACTCTGAAAAAAATTTGGCTTCATTAATTTTCGTTGACTTGTATTTAAAATGATATAACATAACAAAACATTTATTTTAACGTAAAAAATCTCATTCATTTTCCAAATACAACTAAAAGAGCATATTTATAAAACCTTGGTTATTTAGGTCAAAAAAATTTTTATTATGTAGGCTGTGTTTGAGCTAATGTTTTTTTGATTCATTTTTTTAATACAGCCATGAGTTAGGAAATAATAACAGTTACAGAGTTTACATTACAATGAGTTATAAACTTTTCATACAGGAAAAAACTACCTCTTTTATTTATATTTTTGTATTCAAGAAGGATGAGGATATGTTGAATATTTACTAAATTAAATAGTTTATAGAATATGTATAATAATTATTACCAAATGTTTATTTTTAATTGTTAATTTTTTGTTAATTGTTTAATTAAAAAAATAGTTTTTTTATTTACTAATAAATTTAATAAATATATTTCCCAACTAACGTGAATTTTTATCAGTGGCATGGTGAACCCATGAACCACACCATTTTTATGGCGCCAATTCAATATTATAAATACCTTTTTTACTAAAATATAAATAAAAGAGGTAGTTTTTGCAGGGGCAGCTCAAGCACAGCCCTAGGCACACCACTGATTTTTATATGCGTTTTTTGTACAATTACTCCTGACCTACTCTTAGTTTTGTTGATATGTTAAGTCCAAAACGGACGAATTGCTCTACAAATTCAGTTAAAAAATTGTAAATAGCTCGTTAACTAAGAAAGATACAAAGTTCATTTCGCTATAAAAAAAAATTAAAAATTCATAGTTCTTTTTGATTTTAGGATCAATAAAGCAAGTTTCTTTATGTCAAAAAAAATACGGGGGGGTTAAAAGGTACCCAACCCCCCAACTTTTTTTTAAAGGGGTTGTTTTAAATTTTTTTCTCCTTAGAATATTGGGCCTTCAAATCTACAGCACTGGCAAAAATTTCGAAGAAAAAATCGAAACAGCAAACTTTTTATAAAAAAAAACGTTTTTCTAAATGTTAATTTAACACCCTGTAACTTTGTTGGGAGCCAGTTTTTGATATAGGTAAATATAGCCAAATCCACTTATTTTTTGGTAATCTATCTGAGGATGAATTTATGACATACCTTTTTGAAACACCCTGTATAATTCATAATATTAATGTAACAGACATAAATTAATTTTTTATAATTAAAAATTGATTAATATACAATTAAAAATTATTCATTAGAAAAAAGTATAGATTTTTTAATTGTCTGAGTGTACTGTATATTTATTTATTAATAAACTTTTTATTTCTAATTTCTTTAATATTCTAAATATTAATTAATGTCTGACAGAGTCACATGCATTAATACACTAAATAAAAAATTTTACTTACAGTTTGACTTTTGCAAAAACTTTCAAATTCTTCTTTATCTTTTTGCTTCAAAACAGTGATTTTCTTAAGACACTCAGTATGGTAACCAAAATAATTAGCAGATTCCACTGTTAATATAATATCGTGATATTTATATTTTTTTACGTCGGAATAATAACATTGAGAAACATTTTTTAAACGATGGATTACTAAATTGGAGCACGTTGTTCTTTTTACTACACAAAAAACACGTGGTCATTTTTTAAATTTTATCTTTACGTAAACAAAAGTAATATTATTTCAATATTAATAAAACAACAACTATAAAAATAATTATGTGTATTACGAGCTCCAAAACTGTGAGGTTAGGATAATAATAAACACCTCAGCTCAGCTGCTTAGTTGAGAACCCTATCTATCGAGACATGCGCAATAGCTTAAAAAGCGCGTACAGCCGGCATTTAATATCTTTGTCGGACAAGTAGCATTACCCGCTCACTCTCTGTCACTTTATTTACAATGCCTAGCATCTTTAACGGCAGGAAACTTTTATTTGCGGTTTTTTTTATAGGCAGCTTTATTACATTAAGCACAGAAAAAAATTAGCTATAATATGGCACAATTGGAATGAATATACGTCATGAACGAAAAAATTAGACAAAGTTATACCTGTTTACACCTGGCTGCGACGAGATTGCGGCTAAGCGATCAACAGCAACTGTACCTTTTTAAAGTTTTCAATTACATTGTTGTGAAGTGGAGTAGGATTTATTTCCGTAAGATGTAAACGAAATGTTTCCCGAAAACTCAATTAATATTATTTTAATTAAAAATACTAGCGGGCAATTTTTAATTGGCACCTACTGAAAAGTGGATTCTCCTTCTATAAAAGTACGTCGAAATTAGATTTCGATCAACTACATTATGGATGTACTAATTTCGCAGCCGGATCCCGTACAACACTCTTCTAGTAGAGAAGCCACCTTTAATTTTAAATTTCTTTTTATTATTTGTTGTGATAGCACATTCTGTAAAAATTTTAACTGTCTACCTATTACGGATCATGAGATACAGCCCGCTGACAGGTAGACGGACGGACAGCCGAAGCTTAGTAATATGGTCCCGTTGGTTACCCTTCGGGTACGGAACTATAAAAACGGTCCTTATGATGACAATTTTCATATTTATGTGTTACTATGGAGTTTGTTAACTGCATTATAAAGAATATCTACAAAAACATTGTTTAATAAGAATTATAAGTCAATAAAATTCGTCAAAAATAATAGCTTAATCAACAATGATGTACAGGACATTTTTGATTTGTTTTACTTAAAGTAGAGAATACGAACAAAATTTGGTCCGTTTAAAAATATTTTTGTAAGAATTGCTTAAACAATTGCGTTTTAAATAAAGTGGGACCTTAAATCTTCATGGCAAATTGCATTTATGTAATATTATGTAAAATGCCCATATGAAGACAATTTGTTTGATAGATCACTTGGAACACCAGCGCCCTTGCAATAAATTCTAAGAGCTCAATTAGGGTTCATTTTTTAAAACCACTTTGGGCGTATCATTATTTGCATCCTTTTTTCTTCATATTGGGGACGAAACACTTAAAATAATAGTTCCTGCTTTATTTAATGTTGCAAGTTCACATACACGCACTAAACAGTTAAAAATCTGATATTATGAGGGCATAAAGTATTTATGAAGAGAAAATGATACCAAAATAATCGTTTTTCTACATTGTATTTGTATTTTTAATAATTATTTTATAGTTCTGGTAGTCTGGACATTTCCCCTCTCATGGCTATCAAAAAACACCGTAGAACTCCTCCGAAGAAACCACCCAGGCCAAGAGCAGCCTTAAACAGAACAGTCCCCATGGAGGTTCAAAGATTTCCACCGGAGGTTTTCGATTCAGATAGTAGCAGAAAGGAATCACCTGATACCACGTACGGAGGAAATTTTGATCCAGGAGTTGTTAGTCCGAAATCCTATTTGTCGATGCCGTCGGTGAAATCATTTCCCAGGTGAATATTAAATGGAAACCAAACTTTTGGTTGTAATTAATATTTGTAATTAATATTTTTATTCTAAGAGGGAGTATGCCAGAACCTCTTAACAAGGTTTTGGAACCGGTTAGTGTTCACCATTTGGACATTCCTGATGATGAAGTGGGACACGAAGTTGACAGAAACGAGGTTTACAAAAGACTGGGTTTAGCCAGGCATGGCAGTTTGGGAGCAGGCGAAGATCCTGGAGTAATTGGGCCCATAGTCTGGAATATCCACAAGGATAGAATGCAACATGGTGAGTTTTTTTCTTCTATATAACTTTGGATATTATTTATATTAGTTGTTTCAAATGGTAGTACATTAAATATTACACCCTATTTTTAGGTGTTAGCGTTGATGAAGGTATTAACGATTTAAACGTATCAACAAACCTAACGAAGATGAGGAAAAGATTCCATGACCTTCTAGATGATACGTTCAGTCTCTTTGGGAGCAGAAGAACTAGTCCTGTAGATAAACAACAGCCTGAAATAAGAAATATGCCTACAGAAGTTAAAAGTCATTCTGCCATTAATAGGTATCCTGGTTTTAATTTTATAATAGTTCTCTGTTCGTAAATCATTTTAAATTGAACTCTCTTTTCCAAGGTCCGCAGATAACTTGAAAGCACCAACCCCTAAACCCCGTCCAAGAACAACAGACCTTCGAAAGGTCGATCAGCCTCCAGGCGGTGCTCGAAAGGGGGCTTGGTCTAGCGCAGCACCTTCACCTCTAGTTCGACCATTAAGTGCCGGCATTATCAACCCTTATCCCAGAGTGAACGTTGACCATGTGCTAGCTGAGGGTAGCTTCAGAGCAAATGATCCTGCTGTATCATTAATTGCCACTATTAAATCTGAGATAGAGAGGATTTCGCTTCCTGGTAGCACTACAGATTTGAACAATTAATTGCAAGGTGTAATTAGTGTTGGATAAACTTTGTTGAACAATGTTACATAAACACTTATGTTGTTAGTATTTTTGGTTTTTAAATTGTTAAAATCATTAAAATAGATAATTCGTTAGATCTGACGTACCTACAAAGTGTTATTATACAAGGTGTCCAGATAAAAATTTACTAGAGCTATTATCAGGAACTGCGTCTACATTTTAAACAAATCGGCCAATTTTTGAATAAAGGAGAACATTTTTCTATCCTATCCGCATCTATCATATGTCATTCCCTTCTAATCCGTCACTCTAACCAATACAATTTAAATAAGGAAAGTACCAAGTATGGCGCATTTTTGAAAAGGTAATGTTATGAAAAACTCATAAATATGACTATTCATTGTTTTACTTTTGAATTTAGCGCCCTCTAGCGGGATAAAAAAGGGTCACATTTAATTTGAAAGTTAACTTTATTCGAAATTGGAGTAGCCATGTATGAGTTGGTTAGATTAAAAGCTAGAAAAGAAAAATTAGTTTAATTTTATTAACAATTTAAAGCACAGAAGTCATAAAATTGTTATATTGCTTAATTGCGTTAAAGTTGGAGCTCTGCAAGACTTTTCAATTATTTAAGTTCATGTTCCATAAATTTATGTTATTTTATTGTGCAGAAAATTACCTTCATAATTCAGTGTCACACTTTACAATACGCAACAGTTTTTTATGCCGCTAGAGGGCGCTAAAATCATTGCCGAATTCTTCATAAAATTACTTTTTCAATGACGTGTCATACTTAGTCCTTTCCCAGTTTAAATTGAATTGGTTTGAGAGATGGAGGGTAGGGAAACGAAGTATGACAGATGATTAGAGAAAGATGTCCCTCTTTAACAAAACGTTGACGGTTTTATCTTAAATATTAAAGTTGTTTCTGATAATTGACCTGGTACGTCTTTGTCTGGTCATTCTGTATTTTAGAGTATAACAAAATAGGAATCTTAGTAGTAAATAATTTAAATATCGAGCATTCAAATATTAAGGATTTATATTAAAAAATATACTTAGTTATTTAATTATTTTTAATTAACAAATCTGATCAGAAAAAATTGTCAGTGACAAGAGATATAAAGTGATCTCAATGTGGAACTAGATTGACAGTTTAGGGTGAGTTACAAAAGCTTTAAAGTCTTCGATGATCTTTGTTGACGGAGGCCATAATTACGAAATATAAGGTGACAGATGACAGGTATTATTTCCTTCTACGACTTCAAAATATGTTTCAGTTAACATTTTAAAAAGTTATTGTTGTGAAGAAAAAAGTATTGTTTATAAATAATAATAAAATATGAAGTGATCCATAAAAAATGTTTAGAAAGTACTTAAGCCTTAAAAAAATTTACGTATATCGTATAATTTCTATTTTTTTAAGTGTCAGTTTGAATTTAATTCAGAGACGTACGTATTTATCCCTGACACGACTCGTATCTTTTCCTTTAAAAACATTAATTGTGAATCACTCATAAGCCAATGTTTAAATTTGGTATATATTTTGAAATAATAGTTAATTTGCTACAAGATTTCTATTCTAAGTTGCTCAAAAATAATTAAGTTTATTTTATTATTGATTTGTGTTTGTCAAGTTATAGATGTTAAAAAAGCTTGCCATTTTTATAAATTATGTACAGAATAATAAATTATTAACTTAGTGTAGTATTTGTATTGTTTGTTAATTCCATAGATATTGTTAATTATGTAGTTAAAATAAAACACATTTTTTACAATTAATATTAAATGTCTTTTAATTGCATAGAATAACACGATTGCATTTAGCTAATTCAATCGCAATTTTAAAATACTTAATAATTTCAAAGAAATTATATAGAAAATTGTTTAATTTAGTTTAAAAACAGGGTATAATAAAACAACCGTTATTTTATCAGCAATATACGTGGTTATAAACATGAGGAAGATGACGGAAGCGGTAATCAAGTAACCATATATTTTAAATTGTCATTGTCAAAACACAGAACAAAAAAATGAACATTGGGCGCGTTCCAAAATATAATCATGTTCAGTAATTACGTAGGTATATCTTTTGTTTATTTGGTAATATCAACACTCGCCTTTAATTTTACAAAAGTACCTTAAGGGTATTCACATAAACCAAAACATTTTCTAAATATCTCAAATATTACATATGATAATGACTTAGTCATTAGATTAGCATTATTATTGATGATCAGTGGGTACATATACAGTGCTTTTCAGATAAAAGTATCCACCTTAAGTAACTTTTGAAGGACTGATTATTACAAAAAACAAAAAAATACGTCAATTAATATTCGAAGGGGGAGATATCGTGCCATATTTAAGTTTGCTGAAAAAGTCACCCTTTCACCCCTACTATCATCCCTTCAATTTTTTTAAATGGCTTCCCCCATTTTTTTATCCATTTTTGGATTGTTCTCGTTTAACTGATTTCAAAAATGTATAAAACATGGGGTTTAAAATAATTAGTTTATGATCTACAGGGTTCCATTATTTGAGTGACAAATTTTTACATCTCACCTTACTGACTGCAGCAAAATTGGATTTAGAATACATTATACCTTAATCGTACCGCTAAAAACTTGTTGGGGATTTGAAAAATGAATTTAAATTACTTTTATAGTGTATTTTGATACATGTGCACATTGATTTGTTGAGGTTATTTATTTGATTTGAAAATGGTTTACAGTTTACAAGAAAGAATTGAACTTGTAGGTTTATACTACAAAAATAACAGTTCTGCACGAGCTGCTGCTAGAATTTTCAACGAAATACACCAAGGAGGTCATGCAACTCATAAGTATGTAATTGATCTTATGCATAAATTTACATCAACCGGGTCAGTTGGCAATAAAAAACATAACCGACTGGAACTCGTAAATAACGAAGCAATTGAAGTCGCAGTTTTAGGACAAGTAAGTCTTGAAAATCAACAAGCACAGTCACTGACAACAATAAGCAGAGAAGTAGGTGTTTCATCTTCCACAGTTTATCGAATATTACACAAGCATAAGTACCATCCATACAAAATTAAATTGGTTCAAGAGTTGTATGAAGATGATTTTGATCGTCGTCTTGAATTTTGTGAACTATTAAGTCAGCGCTTGACTGACAATCCACATTTGTTGCACAACCTTTGTTTTTCGGATGAATGCACATTTTCAGTTAATGGTTTAGTTAATAGACATAATTGCAGATATTGGGCTGAGAGTGATCCACATGTTGTGCGTGAATACCACACACAGAATCCTCAAAAGTTAAATGTATGGTGTGGTATCCTAGGTGACCACATAGTCGGACCTTTCTTTTTAGACGGAAACTTAAATGGAGAGTCATATCTTGAGTTATTGAGAGAAGTAATTGATCCACGTATTACAACAATAATAGAAAATGATCATAATCTTTCTGAAGATTTGCTTGTCTTTTAACAGGATGGAGCTCCTCCACATTTTGCTTTGCCAGTACGACAATTTTTAAATGAAACTTTACCCAATCGTTGGATAAGTAGAAGAGGCTCGATGATGGAGTGGCCACCTAGATCACCGGATTTATCACATCTAGACTTCTTTTTATGGGGTTATTTAAAAACAAAAATTTATGCTACCCAACCAGAATCTTTAGAAGATTTACGACAAAGAATAGAGTATGAATGCCTACATTTAAATGCACACGTGTTCGGTAATGTCAGGGAGGCTTTTCAATCTAGGTTATACCATTGTATGGAAGTAAATGGTGGACATTTTGAACAATTTTTATAATAAATTTTGAAAATGAAATATTCGTTTTGTCATTGGAAACGCTTGTGACAAAATCATTAAAATAAAAGTTTTGCACAATTCAATTTTATTTTAATTTAAAATTCTGTAGATCGTAAACTAATTACTTTAATCCCCATGTTTTATACATTTTTTAAATCAGTTAAACGAGAGCAATCCAAAAATCGATAAAAAAAATGGGGCAAGCCATTTAAAAAAATTGAAGGGATGATAGTAGGGGTGAAAGGGTGACTTTTTTAGCAAACTTAAATATGGCACGATATCTTCCCCTTCGAATATTAATTGACGTATTTTTTTGTTTTTGTAATAATCAGTCCTTCAAAAGTTACTTAAGGTGGATAATTTTATCTGAAAAGCACTGTATAAGTTTTATAATAATCATCTGAAAGTAATTATCTAATAAAATGATGTACATCGATATGCTTAGATCTTTTTGTTTTAAGAGTGTCTGCCATTTTGATGCATGACTGATTTGTCTTCACAAATCAATATTTAATTAGTAGGTTTACGAATTAAATCTTCTAGAGCTTGCTTGAGAAAGACACATTCAGTTATACAGTCGGCAGAGCATAAAGTTGATAGAGCAACAATAAGTTGTTTCTTTGATTTCCAAAAAATAACATTATTATTTAGCCTTAAAATAAATCCACTAATGCTTTTCTTATCATTAATATTATGAGCAAAATCATATTCAACAAAAGTATTAATATTTACATTTAAACTATCGGTTTTAGTATACTTTCGAACATAATTGTCAGTTTTTTTCAGATATCTTAGAACATTCTTTAAAAGTTTTCAATGATTTTCATAAAAACAATTTTGGAACTGGCTGAAATAAATAACTGCACAGCAAAGGTCAGACCTGGTACCCAAAATAACATACATAAGTGACCCTATAAGTTGTTTGTATGGTAGTGAAATTAGTTTTAACTTTGGCTGAATTGGTATATCTAAACCTTTACAATCCTTCAATTGAAATTTGTCTAATTAACGTTTGTTGTAAAAGTAACAATACATTATCTGTTCTTTGAATTTCAATACCTAGGAATACATTTTTATTTTGGTCTGAAAGATCTTTCATCTGAAATTCTAAATTTAACTATTTTTTAAGATAAGTTCAGTTACTTTATTTATTATTCGTAATTATTATCGACCAAGATTAACAAATAAGTATTACTTTTAACATATAAACAACGATCAGCTTGAACAACAAACAAACAAACAATAAAACAAATTCAAATGTTAATTTGAAAATAGAAAATTATCAAGTTCTTTCTTGATAACATTAACAGAAGGGGCATTTAAAACATTTTCCGGTAGAGAATTCTAACTGGAGAATATTTGAATAAATAAAAAATTTTGCTTCGTTTTTAGTGAAAAATTATTATTTTTTCAGCTTCCATTCAT